GGTGTCTTCGGGTCAAATCTGACCGATTTACTACTTTCATCATAACTTTTTTGTTTTACATTCGACTGCATTAAGGCTTCATGATATCCTTCACAGTAGACATTTGAACATAACAAATTGCTGATCACCACTTTCATTGCATTTTGGATGATTTAGTCAACTTTGTAACACCCGTGGTGTTCCCACACACACACACACACACACACACACACACACACACTAGATGTGTTCCCCCTCTCTTACAGTATGTGCTCAATCCCCCCATGTGAATCACACCTGGCACACACACACACACACACACACACACACACACACACACACACACACACACACACACACACACACACACACACACACACACTAGATGTGTTCCCCCCCTCTTACAGTATGTGCTCAATCCCCCCATGTGAATCACACCTGGCTGGCACACACAAACACACACACACGCACACAAAACAATTTGACACATTTCCCGCTCTTATGTGCCCATTAGATTCGAGTGCATTAAGGCTTTATGATATCCTTCACAGTAGACATTTGAACATATACAATTGCTGATCACCACTTTCATTGAATTTTGGATGATTTAGTCAACTTTGTAACATCCATGGTGTTCCCGGTCATAAAGAAAAGGAATTAGTAACCATCCGGATCAGATAAAACACGCACGCACGCACGCACGCACGCACGCACGCACGAATGCACTCTCACACACACACACACACACACACACACACACACACACACACACAGAAACATTTGACACATTCCCCGCTCTTATGTGCCCCTCCCCCCACATGGATCACACCTGGCACACGTGATACATGTTCAGTGTCTGTTCTTTGTATATTTACTTGCAGTGTTTCATGGATACCAGTAGTCTGATACAATATGTGCAGTTTGAAAGGGTGTTAAAGGAAATGTGGTGATGAATGGTTTTTGTGTTAATGTAATAGCAGTTAAAACAGGACCGGTCAGATTTGACCGCGAACACCAAAGTAAGGGGGGGAAAACGAAGACAATAGGAGGGTTAAGTAAATATACAGAAGTATTATAAGCTAAATGTTTTCAAAGTATGACAAATAAAGTTGCTCACTATGAAGACTGGCTCTTTTCACAGTATTCAAATATCATAAAACATGACATAATCCTGTTTTTATCACCAACAAATACATGTAAGAGCATTTTACTGTTGCAGTTTGACACTGTGGAGCCAATTGTATATACTTTTTAAAATACTGGTTTGTATTTCGATTGAATTACAGTACTCTTATATGATATGTCATATAATCATATCAAATGTAACTAGTAACTAGGAGTGGTAAATAAATGTGGAAGAGTAAAAAGAATTGCCTCTAAAATTGTGTGGAGCAGAGGTATAAAGTGGCAAACAATTAAAATACTCAAGTGAAGAACACAGGTGTCAAAATAGTACTTGAGTTAATAAACGTTGTTACTTTCCACCACTTGAGATCACACACACATACGCACACGTTATGAGGTGCAATACATTATGATAATTGTGTGCGGTGTACTTTATAAACATATGGTTTGGCTCTTGGAATGTACCACCCAAATATATATATTTCAAATACAGCACATAGCAGGAACTGAAGAAGCAACAAATGGAAAAGCGTATTCCACATTTCAGAAGAGATGATTAAATTGGAGAATGAACATTACTACAGCAGCCTATATTCCCATGTTAATACTCACTCTGTGGTGGTGAGCCATTTCCTGACACTGTCCTGGCTCGAATTTCCTGCGGTTGACATGATGCAACACATTACAATAATGCCGGTGACAAGTAACCACTGATAGCAAACACATACTGTAAAGCGCCGGATAGCCTCAGAGCTGCTCAGGCAGTACATTTATAAATAAGTGAAATAATTGAAAGTCTGTAAATAAGTAGTTACTGATAATAAAAGGATAGTCTATAGTGGTTGTCCTTTATGTGACATGGCTATGTTAAAGTAGTGCATCAATTCAATATGATTATTAACTGGAGCTCATTTTGGTCAATTTCTAGATCCTTGCCACAATTGTTTATTTAATGCTTTTATTAAAATCACTGGATTTCAAAGAACCATATACAGTATATAATCAGCTACAGCTTTTGATGTCTTTCCCAATTTTCTATGTTTCTGTCTTCATTTTGGAATCCATCCCAGTATTATCCATATTGCACACTCAACACATTGTGTCACTGTGCAACAATAATAGAAAACCTGATGTTCACTGTTGTTAACTCATCAAAGTTCAGAGTTTCATGGGTTCAATTCCAAAAAATATATAAAAAAGCACAATTTTGAAAATGATTAAAACTAACTTTTCTTTTAGGTTAACTTTACTTTATTTCTTGTAAATAAGGTTAAACCTGCAACCTGGTTTTGTTGGCTCACAAAGAGTATTTGTATGGCGTCCGTACCGTGATGGTCCTGGTCCTGGTCCGGGGTGTACTCAGGGAGGTCAATGTTGCTCCAGTGGACCCTGGAAGCAGCCAGGTTGCTCCTCTTGGCCAGAGCTCCTTCAGACGCCATGGAAGTATCAACAGCTCCTCAAATAATAAGCAGAGGATGCACAAAAACACACCAGAGAAGCATGGACACCTGTGGAATTGGAGGTATGTCTCCTGGTTTCACATAGTCCCGAGCAGCAGCAGCAGCAGCAGCAGTGGAGTTGTTCCCAGCAGAGTGGAGGCTTTGTGGAGATGCAGAGCTGAACTCCCAGGCAGAGAAATGCAGCTCTCATTCAGCTCCTGTCCCGCATGGTAAACATGCCGGAGCAAAGGAGGGACATGCAAATGAGTTGGTCAGACTTCTCAGCCCTACAAGGAAATATAACATCCTGGCTGACTTGTTGATGCCTTCCTGCTCCACTTTTATCTGCTTCTGCCTGCCTGTGGCCAGAGGAGGAAACAATACTCTTCATGTTCCTTTATTAGTACTTTTCAATATAATGTGTGTAGCATACAAACTAATGGAAGCAGCAAGTTACACAAGTATGTCATGTGTTTTTAAAGGTGTCACTGTTTCTTTTGTCAGTGTTTGTTATTTGCATACTGCTTTTTTCCCGCCCCAATGACACCCTTTCTGTCCAGCCCTAACGAGAGCATTTGTTTGGCGTGTATATTTATAACATTATGCAAACGTTGTGGTTTTATGATGTCACGCAGGTATGCTTACTGTCACTAGTATTTCTGACATTCCTGATATAAAACAGCTTAGCAAAATAAAAAAATAGACTTTTGAGTTTGAAGCATTATGAAAAGATTGGAGTTTTAGGTTAGGTCTGCTATCAGCAACACTTTGTATGACTGTGCAGGCCTCTGAGCTGATAGGCTGCCTTTAAAATGCAAATTGTTCCTCTTTCAATAGCTAAACTGTGTGTACTAAGAAGAAGAGAAGAAATAAATGAGCAGAACAAAAGAGAAGCCAGTGTGTGTGTTTGTTTATGGATGTGAAAGCAGTCATTGTGTGCGACCTCTGTCCTATTTGTTTCTACCACCAGGGGGCGACAAAACCTTTCAAATCCTAAACAAAGTGTCTGTAACTCAAAAACAAGTGCTGTCAACTTCAGAGAATTGAGATAAAACTAAGCAAATGTACTAATGTCAACACAAATATAAAGTGTATTCATCAGCCCAAACTGTCATTAAATAAACTACCTTCAAAATGTATGCTAAGATTACTTTAAAAGACTCATTTAAGTATAGGTTAAGATAAGACTGTAGGAATAGGGAAATGTCCCAAGCTGCACAGTAATATATTTTACATAGATAAAGGTGTTCCTGTTACTCCTCTACTCCTCCTGTCTTGTGTAATTGGCTGAATTACACAAGTATTAAAAGCCACACCTGAACGTAAAATATCTGTAATGCACTTGTCATTTAATTTCTCAGAATAAAAAAACGCACATTTTTCATGAAATTGCTGTTTTTTTTAAACAAATGTAGGCCCTGAACTTCATCTCTGCTACACACTGGGGCCGGAGGCTTCTGAGAGGAGGCGTCCATATGTACAGCTTGTTTGTGGGTGGCATGGCACCCAAGGGAGTCAGTAGGGGAGTGGGCAGAGTGCAGGGGGCCCAGTCCATGACTAATCAGCACCCTGAGCGGGCTGCCAGATGGGCCCTTTGGATCATCTGTGGCTCAGGAAGACCGTGCCAGTGGCCAACCAATCGCAACAAAGCACCACTCGGAGAACACTGTGGACGCCATGTGGTCGTTACATGTGTGGCTGTTTGTTTGAAAAATGATTTGATAATTAAAATGTGGTTCAGGATTTGGTTAGGCATTATGATATCAGTGGGTTTGCATTTTAAAGCTCTTTATTTGACACCACGGTCAACCATTTAGTGTATGTTGAATTGTGTGGACTTCCTTACACTTCCCCTTTTTAGAAGATGTTACTTTGTCTCCCCTGAAGATCACTATAGAATAAGAGGCTGGTTGTCTCATGACGTCAGTGACACTCACTAAAGCAGTATACTTCCTGCATTGGCACTCGATGTTGGCATAGGGTTAGCCATTACTGTAAAAGCAAGCTGTGTCACTGCCATGCTGAGCTCTCCCCACACACACACGCTCCTCAGTGTGACACGGATCATTAAGCCGCTTCATTATAAAACACGACTTTTAATAAAAGAATCATCATCCCGCTGGAAGATGGAGATAGAGCATGCTTAATTACTTAGCTTAAGTACACAACAGAGAAGTCTACATAGTGCTTCATGCAAAGAGACATAACAAAAGAAAAGCTAAATGATGGAGTGTGTGTGTGTGTGTGTGTGTGTGTGTGTGTGTGTGTGTGTGTGTGTGTGTGTGTGTGTGTGCCTTTCTACCAGTACATTAGGGACTGTGGTGTTAACAAGGCCAAGACAGAGGTGATTGCAATGCTCCTTATACACTAATTATCGTCAACATGTCGTCGGTGCTGGTTGAGCGGTTGTTGCATTGTATCTGAAGAGCAAGAATCTATGCAAAGCTTCAGTTCCAAATGGGCCTCCCGTTAAAATGGCTGGTGTTAAGTGGGGGGGATTCAAATCTACACAATTCAATTGGCCTTGGAGAAGGGGTTTCATGGTATAGGACTTAACCTGACTCCATCGTGGCTCATAGCTTTACACAGCCAATCAATAAGTACAAGCGTTTTGTAGGGTTATGAAAACAACACTATTTCAACGTATACACAGGCTCCAAATTACACATTTATTTTAAAAGTCTTATACTTAGAAATTGAATCACACGTCCTGTAAGTTGTATTTCTCATTAAAGTAGTATGCCTCAGATGCTTCAGAAATGAAGGATTCACTTAATTATCATTTAATTTAGTTTCACTAAAACACCCCACTTACAGCAGAAAGTGTAATCCCAGCCACAGGGTGTGAACGCTCCGATCCTAATTTACAAACTGGCATCCCATCACTTTGAGTTTAGGAGCAGGGAATGTGATAATGAAGTCACTCAGGACTGCAAGCATTCTTTAACAGCGAGTCAGGGGTCTTTTTTTTCACCCGCTATTTTAGGATATGCCGGCATGTGTTTAAGGATGTTACATTTTTTACGTCAAAATGGGACGATGCCTCCTCTTGGTCTGCTATCTGCCGCACAATGATTTATCGTTCCCAAATGGCCACATAGCTAATTAACAGAGTAATTAATTAATATGAATTTGCATTTGCAATTACTGCCGTGAAGTAATTAGTTTGAGATGGAAGAGTTTGACTCATCAGATGTTGGTGTGTGTACTGGACTAGAAAGACCCGCGCCAGCTGAGGCTTCATGGGGGGGGGGGGGGACATCAGGAATGGATGTGGAAGGTATATCAAATAGAAGTTAGGCAGGTTTTGTGGACAGATAATACAATTAAAATACAATGCTACACTAGGTGCTTTACTATGACATTGCATGTGATGCAAGCACATTGAAAGAACTATGGGTGCCATTGCTGCAAAGAAATAAAAAATTATCATTTAAAATTCAGTTTTTTCAACAATTGAACAATAATGTGGCCGTCTGGAGTGCTTTCTTTAGAGGAATGACTTAGTCTTTTTCCTGAATAAAGTCCAAATGTGAAAAAGATAATAATAGAAATACAGTTTTTTAGACAATTGATATGGCTGTCTGGACTTTTTTCTTTTGAGGAACCCTCTTGCTGTGCCTGAATAATGCCGGAGTGTGCATGTTGACAGCACAGTGAGTTAATGAAATGAGAATAAACTAGTGTGAACAGATCCCCGAGTATCATCGCTTCACAAGATCATGTGACTCAGTGTGCTCAGACTTTCATCTAGAAACTCAAATCTGTCCCCGGGGAGTAAGACTGGCACCGAATCCCCGCACTGCAGTCAGACTGGGAAGACTGGGAGAGAGGCATTTTGGGGATAGAGAGATACAAACATAGGAGGGTGAGAGACAGAGTGTCACACAGAGAGAGAGAGAGAGAGAGAGAGAGAGAGAGAGAGAGAGCTAACCTGCCCGTGACGTCAGCAGCAGATGGCATCAGTGTATTATTTTTACTGCTGGAAGAAGAAGAGAGACAGAGGAGAGGAGAGGAGGAGGACTGATATCTGCTGCTGAAAGCCTGTCTAAGCTTCTGGAAGCTTCAGGAAGATGCTCTCTGGAATCTAACACCAAAGCTGGGTGAGAAGCTCGTCCATGTCCTCGGACAGGAAGTCAATACATTTAAGATTTAGTAGGTTTTTTTGCAGGAAGTTGACTTGCCTTATTATGATAAATAATAGGCTACTATTAAAAACAGGGGCTCATTATGCTTGGTATAGCTGCATGACAATTCTGATTTTTCTTGTCGTGGATTTTTGTAGTTTTTTGTGGAAATGATAAGGCCGATAATGTGGTATGTTATTGTTGTGTGCTTTGTATTATGCTATGACATGTTTCTAGATTTAAGCTGGTGAAACAGTTTCTCTGATTTCTACTTCAACAGTAACAACTAATAACCTGTATTGCTTATATAATAAGAATAATAGTAGTTTATTTGTTAGTTCTTCAAGGTAGGCTATACATGAGGCAGTTTAGCAAGCTTATTATGTCTGCAAATGTTCATTTTTCCGGATTCAGTAGCCTACAGTTTAATTGTATGTGTAATATACATTTTACTCACGTGCCGCAGGAGATCATGCTGACTTTCGATGAGCCCCCCTCCACCCAGACCAGCAGCTCCTTCAGGAACAGCTGGGCCACCAACCAATTAAATGTCAAATGTGTTAAAGCAGAGCCCTGCAGAGCCCTGGAGGACACGTTAGAGTCCCGGGGAGAGGAGGAAGAGAGGCACGGTGGCGAGGAGGACGGAGAGGAACAAGGTGTGAGGAGAAGGGGGTCTCATAAGAAAAAGTTTAGCCAGGCACGGCTGGACCGGGTCCGACTGCGGCGCATTGAAGCAAATACGCGGGAAAGAAACCGCATGCACAGCCTGAACAGCGAGCTGGACATACTGAGGAAAGTAGTTCCGTGCTACTCCAACACGCAGAAACTCTCCAAAATAGATACACTCCGCCTTGCTAAGAACTACATCTGGGCCCTGAGTGAGACTCTGAGCATTGGGAAAAGGCCGGACCTACTCACCTTCGTGCATACTCTGTGCAAGGGTCTCTCCCAGCCCACCACTAACCTGGTGGCCGGCTGTCTGCAGCTGAACGCCCGCAGCTTCGTCTCGGAGCCCGGCGGGGAGGCTTTCCCCTTGTACCCGGGGTCCTATAACCACCCCCGCGGGCCTGAGGCGGTGGGCTCCGGCTCGGCGGACAGGCCTCCCCGGTCCTTCGGCTCTTTCTGCGGCCCTGCCCTGTATGACAGCCCCTCTCCGGACAGCCCCCCCGATGCAGGGGCACTCAGCCCTCCTATGAACTTCAACGGGATCTTCTCCCTGAAACACGAGGAGCCCGGGGACTACCGGAGCTGCCACTACGGCCTCCGGTACTGCTCCATCGGCCAGGGCTCCTCCGCGGACCCGTATGACATCCACCTCCGGAGCCAGTTTTACCAGGTGCAGGAGGACTTAAATAAACCTTTCCATAATTAATAACGATAGAGATGTTGATTAAAAACATTTAGAAATGATATTTTTGGGGGGCGTGCTAATTTTTGCTGCCTCCTGTTGAACGATAGTCAATTAATCTTATTTAATCTAATTAAATGTTCGTTGTCTGGGGATAGCTGTGGCAGACACACACACACTCACACACACATTTGCAGACACAGGTGGGGACACGCCAACATTTATTTGTGGTTTGTTTGGTGGTTTAATCTTTACTAAAAACGAACCACAGCGTAATAACACAAAGTAAGGCACAGGGACCTATGCAATCTGCATTTCTAGTTATTTATTAATTTAATATGATAATCAATGTTGTTTTCCTGTGTGAAACTTGTATTGGAAATAGGGTGTAAATAACGAATTATATGTGTGTAAGTGGGAAGCTGGAGTTATTCCCACTGTATGTAGGCGTGTTGTGGAATGTGCAGCCATTAGGCCCATTGAGTTAGATATTGGTGGTAATAATGTCGCATTACACTCAGGCCTTAACATATTTCAAAGATTCCTCTATGACTAAATAAAGCAGAATAACAAAAATAATTACCTGTAATTAAATGTAGAAACACTGTTTTTTGCTCTAGCTGGGCCGACATAAGAATGTGCTGTTGACATGTGATGTGATATCATGGTGATTTATTTGGCCCTCAGTGGGTGTGGCAGCTGTTTCTCTCTTACTCTTTTTTAAAATGGATGAGTCTGCCTTCATTTGGATGCCAGACAGGACTAATGAAAACGTGTTTGTCTGTAATGTTGGCGTTTTATTGGCAAATTGATGTCAGATATTAAGTCGATTGTTGTGGATGAACTGTTCTGGTGCACTTTGCTTTATTCAACTTTGTTTTATACAACAAATAAAACACAAGTTAAAACCAATGATGAAAGTATGAGATATTCTTAATGTATGCATGTTGTTCTTAGATTTTTGAAGCATCAACCAGTTGTTATGAGGTATTGGTGCTGTTTGAAGAACTTATAAGGCCTATTAGAGATTGTATTTATCATGTTGATCCTATAAATCAGGAGAGAAGTTGACATCTTGAATATTTGTGTGTGCATATATAAATATAAATATAAATGTAGCCTCGCAGTGTTTTGGCTTGCAGGCAGTTTTTTTTGCAGATTAAAAAAAACACATTTGTAACATAACCCTGCTCTGAATATAGCAAAAAAAAAATGAAAAGATTCATTCATTTGTATAAATGAACATCCAACAAGGCTAGTTTTCCAGATTTGGGGATTTTTTTTAAATTCATCGTCAGATTTACTGAATGATAACCTGCCTTCATGTGGCATGATAAGAAAATCCTATCAAAACCTGGTGCGTCTATTCCTACTCTGGTACTCTTTGTTCTTAAAAATATATATTATATTTGGGGTTAAATCATGTCTGCAATTATAACACACATTTTTTTTAATATATTAAAACCAAATCAGTGAAGTACCCGCTGTGTACGATAATGGTTGATTATGTGCTGAGAGTGTGTGTCAAGCCACCGTAGTTATTTTTCACACTATTCTCACCCTATGCACTAAAGGATGACAGGGTGGCAGCCAGTACTTCATCTTCACACCTTAAATATCTCACTTATGCTAACATTAGCTGCAAGGTGCCAGCTTGATAGTCAAACCAAATAACACGTTCCCGCTCTGTGCAATCTGTGGTTGATCTTTTTGTAAGCATCAAATAAATGTACATTTAAAGGAAATGTTTTTTTTAATTCCAACCTACTTTTGAATATTTGTTATAGTCCCCTCTATGAGTCTTTGTCTGCATGTGTCTCTCTGTGGAGAGCACAGATTCACATGTATGAAAAAACACACTCCATTCTCTCCTTCTGTCTCCAGTCCCGAGTCACAGATGGTGTGGGACGTACAATTTCCTCCATTCAAATCTCAATAATCTGCTTTTTGGATGAGGAGGGTGCAATGTAGCCTGGTGGAGGGATTCTAGTTTTAATTAGAGGGTTTAAGATGCTAAGCCCTTCAGAACAGTGGCCCTCCAGAGAGGTGGTTGCAGGTTATGCTTCAAAGCTGAAGTCACACCGTGGTAACAGCCAACAAGTAATTTGCATTTTAGACTGGAGTCACTTTGGCATTCATCCTGCTGTCCCCTGGCCCCGAAATAACTCCCCACATTTCTGTGTTTGGCACTGTCCCACATTTTGTTTTGGCACGGCTGTTTGGCAGTCCTGGTTGGAATGTTCAGGGAACACTATCGAATAACTAGGGCGTATGTGTGTTTAGACAAATAATATCAAAACAGTATTTCATATTTTGTCACTTATAATGTAATCAAGCATAAAAGGGGAAATGAGGAAGTGGCTTAAACCTGCATCATTTGTGTTGGCCAGCAGCAACGATTCCATTGGTTACAAAATAGGTCAGTTTGTACAGAAGTCTATAATAAAACGACCCTACTCCTCACATGATTTTTTACTTTAGTAAACATTTTCCTCTGAGACTGCCAAAGGCACACAG